CTGCTCGACACAGCAGCACACAAGCTTAGTTTAGTAAACAACCTTGTACGCTAACCCGCTTCCCGACACAGCAGCACACAAGTTTAGTTTAGTAAACAACCTTGTATGCTAACCCATTGCCCGACAAAGCAGCACACATGCTTAGTTTAGTAACCAACCTTGTAGGCTAACCCGCTGCCCAACTCAGCAGCACACAAGCTTAGTTTAGTAAACAACCTTGTAGGCTCCCAAGCTGCTCGACACAGCAGCACACAAGCTTAGTTTAGTAAACAATCTTGTACGCTAACCTGCTGCCCGACACAGCAGCACACAAGTTAAGTTTAGTAAACAACCTTGTAGGCTTACCCGCTGCCCGACACAGCAGCACACAAGCTTATTTTAGTAAACAACCTTGTACGCTAATAAGCTGCCCGACACAGCAGCACACAAGCTTAGTTTAGTAAACAACCTTGTATGCTAACCCATTGGCCGACACAGCAGCACACAAGCTTAGTTTAGCAAACAACCTTGTATGCTAACCAGCTGCCCGACTCAGCAGCACACAAGTTTAGTTTAGTAAACAACCTTGTAGGCTAATAAGCTGCCGGACACAGCAGCACACAAGCTTAGTTTAGCAAACAACCTTGTAGGCTAGCCCGCTGCCCGACTCAGCAGCACACAAGTTTAGTTTAGTAAACAACCTTGTATGCTAACCCATTGGCAGACACAGCAGCACACAAGCTTAGTTTAGTAAACAACCTTGTAGGCTAACCCGCTGCCCGACTCAGCAGCACACAAGCTTAGTTTAGTAAACAACCTTGTAGGCTAACCCGCTGCCCGACACAGAAGCACACAAGCTTAGTTTAGTAAACAACCTTGTACGCTAACTCGCTGCCCGACACAGAAGCACACAAGCTTAGTTTATTAAACAACCATGTAGGCTAACAACCTGCTCGACACAGCAGCATGTAGATCAGCCGTTGACACTCTCTCTACCCATATATAACCCCTGTAAAATGGTAGGGACAACACTGTCTCTACCCATATATAACCCCTGTAAAATGGTAGGGACAACAGTGGCATGTGTAACAACATAGTGTACCAGTCATAACTGGATTTAAGCCAGCATATATATATAGAGGGAAGTCAGGGAGAGTATTTCACCCTTTTTTAAGTCTCAATTCAACCCCTTTCTAAGGTCATATTTCCACCCCCTACAAAAGTCTCATTTTAACCCCTTTCTTACATCATTTTTATTGTCTAAGCTCCACTTGATAGACTTTATAATAAGTTAAATACTATGCATCTACATATAGCACTGTTTGTAATTTACCAAACTAATTATAAGCAAATTAATAAATATTCACACGCACGACACTTTCACTCATTATGGCATTTTGATCAAAATAATGAAATTCTGACCTGTTCAAATAAAAGGACTTTACAGTGACACACTCTTTTGTCATGAATTATCCCCCTTTAATAAATTCAAATCCCCATCATACAATAGGTTTGGTTCCAAAACTCCACTGCCATTTCCTAGATATTATTTCTCAGCAACAGTATAGCCCAACATACCAGAGTCAGAAATGGCTTTAAATGGAATATCTGTTTAGCCGGAATTAAACCATCCACTGATAAGTATCGATGACGATCACATGATAGTCACATGATATAACACAGAAAATTGAGTGGAAAGAAAATCTAAACTGATTTAAATAATGATAGAATTATATATTAAAAAAAAAAAAGAATCTATTAAAAAACAAGAGATCCCAGAGGGATCCTGGCGCCCACCATTGTACCATCTTTATTAGTTCTGTCACTTTGATCTTTTCTCTTCTTTTCTCTTATCTATTTGATCAAGTCATGTAAACAGTAAATGCATCATTTCATGTATTTTCTAGTACAGTTCTTTAAATTTAAGAGAAATAGATCTGATCATTACAATATCTAAAAGATCTCACATTAGTACTTCCCCATTCCACCTTGTTTATCTGATCAGTATCAAAGTTAAATATGTATAACTACAGACCAAGGGGAACCTACTTATCAAATTTGAGAAAGATTCCTCCAGAACCTCCTGAGAAATAGCGATAACAAACTTTCACCGTCAAAATCCAAGATGGCGCCCCGTCGGCCATTTTGTTTATCCGATCAATCTTTAAAGTTAACATGCATGATAACAGACCAAAGGGAACCTTCATATAAAATTTGAGAAAGATCCCCGATTCTGAGAAATAGCAATAACAAGAAATGTTTAAGGACGGACGACAGAAGGACGACCGACGACGGAATAAGGGTGATTTGAATAGTGCACCATCAGATGATGGTGGGCTAAAAATAACGCATCATTAATGATTTGTAATAAAAAGAATGTAAATGTACAAAAAAAATCACCTTGGACAGAAAACAGCTTTTATTTCTGTGATTTTATGTTAACCCTGTATCATCTCATATCAACAAATTAATAACATATCTTTAAGATTGTAAGTGAGCACATCATATTCACCAATATGTTTTATATAAACTACAGTAAAACCTGCCTAAACGAGACATCAAGTGCACCAAGATTCTTGATATTACTGAAGTAAAACTTGTACCAAATAAACATCAAATGCACCAAGATTTCTGAATACAGTACACATGTTTTAAGATAACAAAGGTCTTAGCAACCCCTATCACCCTTAGTTAAGATTATTTCCTGGGCTGATTATAGAGAAATGAATAATTATTTAAGACCATGGCCACCCATATATTATTACATGCTTCCTTGCCTCCCTCCTCTCCTATAATGAGAAAAGCCCTTACTCGTTACTTGCTTGCAAAGCCTTTATATCATTAATAAAGTATTAAATGTACCTACAATGAATAGTAAAAAAGCCATCAAGCAACTCTTTCATGGACTACTGGACTACAATTATACAACATTGAATCAGTCAATGACCATCACAACATTTACACTAACTAACAACTTTCACGAAGCGTGTAATTCCTACACCTTATCACAGACAAAAGTTGGCATTTACAGGTTTCACCAGTCCAATTAAAGGAAAAGCATTGATACAAATCATTGTTTAGTACATCAAGCTACTTAGAGAATGAAGGGAAATCAAATCTTGTTTAGACCATGAAAACAATTTCCGAGCTACAATGTCGCAAAATTTTTTAGATTTCACCTCGACACCAATAGATACAAAAAATCTCCCCCATTAGACATTAGACAGAGATATCCACACTTTTGGTAATGAAAAGTTATCTCTGTCCTATCCGAAGGTTAAGACGGGGGGGATTCCCCCGTCATAGCAGTTGTGAAGGGGGGGATTCCCCCGTCATAGCAGTTGTGAAGGGGGGGATTCCCCCGTCATAGCAGTTGTGAAGGGGGGGATTCCCCCGTCATAGCAGTTGTGAAGGGGGGGATTCCCCCGTCATAGCAGTTGTGAAGGGGGGGATTCCCCCGTCATAGCAGTTGTGAAGGGGGGGATTCCCCCGTCATAGCAGTTGTGAAGGGGGGGATTCCCCCGTCATAGCAGTTGTGAAGGGGGGGATTCCCCCGTCATAGCAGTAGCAGATCATGGAAGATAACTCTGAATCTGCTGGAAAATACGAATTTTATATAATATGCATTTCATGCAGTACCACTTGTATTTCATGTGGGAGAAAAATTATAATTCCCCACTTCAGGAGTAAGACAGAAAATTCTCAACCCTCGGGGGGAAAATGTAACCTATTGGGTTGAGATTGTTCTGCCTAACCCCCAAGGCGGGGAAACATTTTATAAATATAAACATGTGTTTTGTTACAAAGACAGAGGTCAGAAAACAAAACTCTGGAAATGTTTGGACAAATAATAATTTGGATAAATAAAAGCAAAAATTGACCGAGATAATAGGATACCGCCAAGATGCCTCTTGGATCACTCCTATAAGAGTCTGTTTGTCGACTGTTCTTTTTTGATTATTAAATATGATTACGCTGACTACGACACTTCGCCTGTGGAAAGTATCTCACAGTATTACATCTGTAAGGTTGCTAGAGCACCTATTGAATCAGCAAGAAAACTTGGTATGTGAAGACTAGTTGTACACAACTTAATCAAAATCCAAGGCAAGCAATACATCATTTAATCAAGTACGAGTAAGTTCCATTAACTCATTCACCCCTGAAAACACATTTAAACTCTTCCAATTCAAATGAAAAAAGAAATGATGAGCAACAACACCACTAAATCCGGTACAAAGTGTAATGTTTGATTTACATCCTTCGTATAGGATGTAGGATGTAAATCAAACATAACATTTTGTACCGGATTCAGTGGTGTTGTTGCTCATCATTTCTTTTTTCATTTGCTCTGCTTTCTCTGATGAGCACTGTTGAATACCACTAAGGTATCCACCCCAGGATACGTACTGCCACTATGGAACTGACTTGCTTGCAGGGACGTTGGGTCTCCCCCCC